TTACTCAATATTACCTGCAAGAATGCAACGATGTCAACACGGTTGAAAAAAAGGAAGCTGGTTAAAACTGACAGAAGATTCTCTTCAAATATAGATGGCACAGGCAAACAAACTTCCTGAAAAACCTTTTATATACGACCATTAATGACTGAAATGAAACTAAAATTTCTGTTAAAAAACCACTAGAACCAAACAAGAAAAAAGTGCCAAATAATGATGAAAAGTTAAATCAAGGGAGACAAAACACCTCTCATTTCTAGACAAACACTAGCAAAACTGGGCCTCACCCCGATTTCTGAAACTCAAGTAATACTTGAACAGAACCCATCAGAGCTTGAAATCCTCCCAGCTAATATTCACTGATAAAATCGCCTTTTTAAAACCCCAATTACAAGTACCCTACAAGTTTCAAGCAAAAAGCACTCAAAATCAGCAATAGAGGAAAAAACAGCAACTGACTACAAAAATCCAAAAATACTCAAGATTATCTTTCATTGCAATCTGGGTAAAAAATCGCCTTCAGATTTGCGCATAAGACCATGAATGATGTGCCCAACAGTTGTAAGTTCTAATGAACCAAACCTATTCACTTTACAAGTAATCCACTGAATCAAATAGATAAAAATTTAATTCTATGACTTAAGCAATCCCGAAAAGGGGCTGCCAATAAAGAATGAGTTATACACCGGATTTGAATTGTGGATTTCATAAGGTTATACTCCAAAATAACGCGCGTTCTTCGCATCGAATTATATTTTGAGCATCTCCAGAGCTCTGACCAACTTACTAAAATTACCCAAAAAATATTCAGGCTGGCCTTTTCACTTCTTTTCAGATGGGAGGCCAACAGTTATCAAGAACAACAGTAAAAATCGTAAGATAGAAAGGTAGCATCGTCAATTACACAGAATGATAACGTTCCAAAGAAACATGAGACGTACAAAACAAGAAATAAAAGTCAGTAGTTCCATGTCACGAATGGAAAGTAAGAATAATTTCTACCTTTCAAAGGACAATCAGTGGTATTGCTGTAATATCTCGTTCTAGATTTCAGAGGCAAACTAGTGAAAAACTAAACGATGAAAAGAGAGGTAATTTTCTTCCCAGAATCACAATAACGCCTTAACACGGAGTTTAAAATCAGGTTTTTTTTTGGAATAATTTTAAAAACCCAGCGCCAAAGCGAACAATGATCTATATTTTTTATAACAAAAAAAAATTCGATTTTAAAGTATGAAAAAGACTCCTCAAAAAATCTTTCGTGACTGGGCAGACTCTAAACAATTTGATCATCTCAAACATATTCCGGAAAATAATTTTTTGGTGTGGAAAAAGCTTAATGTTCACAGCAAAACCCAACCAAGTCGAAATGATGCCTCCATAATATATTAAATATGCTTGAGAAAATTTTCAAAACGACCTTTGTTTTTTATCTCAGAGATACATCAAAAGTAATAGACCCTAAACACAAAAAACCCACCCCATTAATCGTATTCTCAAATAAGGAATTCAGAAAAACACACTTCATAACGTTGGTTAGAGACCTAATTTGATACCTAACCCACACATTTGAAGGAACAAGCAACCCCACCTATGCTTTGCGAAAACCGACACTAAATCTGAAGTAGATGCCTTATGAGACCTGCCAAATATAATTATGCCGAAAAAATACCAGCACCGCCTCGCGCAGAATCGCTTGTCAGAATCCAGAAAATGCTCCACTTAAAGTCATTCTTTCTAAGCAATAAAACAATAATTGAATTACTTTCGCAGACAAAACTTGCTAGCATAAAGCGCTGCAAAGTAATCAGCAAACCCAATAACTATATATTTCAGAAAATATTCGGATTTTAAAATTTGATAAATACCTGAACATACTGTACTCGAAACGTCTGGTGGATTTTTTTACGTAACTCTTCATTACGTATAGGAAGTACTTCGCGAAATCGTGCTTTTTCGTAAAGAAATTCTCTATGCTTTCGTGGTTGCGGATACGCAGGATCATATTCTAACATACCAACGATATCTCTGAAGTAACAAATTGTGAGAAACTCCAAGCCCACAGTAAAAAAGAAATGAAACTCCTAAAATAGTAAATTACTTGAAGTATTTCTCCTGTAATAAAACCTCCAAAAGATCGTTCCGGTTAAGCATGAACATATCCCGAGCTATCTGATATAATAAATGCAAAGCTTCCATATTTTCCAAGTCTTCACACATTTGGAAGATCTCACACAATTTACCAACATAACTAAAAAAAAATATAACCATTACGCAACTGAAAACTGTAAGCGATTCAAACAAGGATTAAGCCAAGCGAAAAAAAAAAAAAAAAAAAACAAAACAAAACAACTTAAGAAAGACAACAAACCCCTGAGTTTCAATCACTGAAGCTAATTTTTCTCTTTGCCCTGGAGATGCGAAACTGCTAGACAGTGCTGCTTCTATTTCTTGCAATCTTGATAATTCACAGGGAGGAAGAGTGATCAAATTGGGTGCCGCCTTAACGAAGACCATTAATCTCTTCTTTTACCAGAAACAAGCAAATCAAAGCAATTTGAAAAAAAAAAATTACTCTATTAGAATCATACGAATTTGCCCCAGTCCCAAATCCTTCCTGCTCTTCCATGTCTTCGTAATTCCCTGTGAAGTCCTATAAAAGGTGCATTGTTTTTCAGCTAAATCAACCCGAATACATTAGTGGTCAGCCAATAATAAACAGGTGTATCAAGATTTAACAAGAAAAAATTTGTAAAAACAAAGATTACCGGATTCAATTCCGGATCACGACCTTGAACCTGGCAAATCCTCTCCCAAACATCATCACATCCATTCTTATCCTGGAACGACAAGGCGAGATCGTAGCAATCAGACTCCGACCATACTATCAACGTTTCCTAAAATAATTTGAACCAGCACTTACATCACTGTCAATCCAAAGAAACTATTCCAAAGATTCTATGCAATGACAATATCCTCAAAAACCTACATGACGAAAATGCAAGTTATTGAAATAAATTTACCAAACGAAACGAAAAAAATGCGACAAAACGCTCATTTAAACTTTTTAAACTTTCTGTTGCTCATCATCATCATACCTTACCCATCAGTCTAAAAAGTAAAAATACATTAAAAAAGCGTATATACCTGTTGCTTTTGATATATAGTGTCCATCTGAATTCTAGACTCCAGAACATTCTTTTCTAAAAAAAATTGGAACCCATAACATCATGGTTTCAGCAAAAAATACAAAAGCGTATTAAAATTATAGAGAAATTTTAGGGACAGTTACCTTCTTCCTCCAAACGAACAACAATGAAAGTTATTCCTTGACGTTCAGGTATGGAAACACAAACAACATGGCCTGTCCCCTTATCATCCCAAAGTCGATGTTCGCATAACACATAAAGCTTTACCCTATTTCTTCCGTCCTGTAACATCAGAAAGTCCCAACGACATACAATGCGCCAAATCATTCCGTCCACACTGATTCTTATACTCAAACACCATCAGGCTCTGACGTCAGATACCACTCATATGCATAATTCATAATTACAAAACAGTGTAGCTATATTAGTGAAAAAAAATTCTTCGATGGAATTTACCTAACTGTTAAAGCCAAAAGAAAAGGAAAGCAGGAAATAAGAAGCAGGAAGACTTAAAAGGGAAAAGAAACAACTAGTACAAACCCGAGGAATTTTAACTTTAGCCAATTGAGGATGAAAATCTTCATCTCTAATTATTACACCTTCCTGCTTATTTTCAACTTGCGCGACAGATCCTCTTCTATTTTCCTCATCTGTCATTGCCGGACCTTGAAGATTCAATTCCGGCGAGCAGTCCCAAACCTGAAATCTTTTCGCTCTGTAACTAGTTCTGAACGCAAAATATAATCACCAGAATTTCACAACAAAATAAAAGCCAGATGCAACGAAGAAATACATCATTTCCATTTATGGAACCAAACAGATTAAAAAATGTGGAATATATGTACTTCCTTAACAGACACAAAAGCCCATACTAGGCGTCGTCAACCTCATATCACCAAAACAAGTCGCACTTGTTAACATAGCAAAAAAAAAAAAAAAAAAAAAAAAAAAAAAAAAA